CAAACAAACAAACAAATAAATAAATAAATAAATAAACCTTTCCGATCCACAAGCTCAGTTCATTTGCATTATCTTAGCCTCTTTTTCCCTATTACAAATTACATAATGCCAAAAGCAAAGTGTAAAGATTTTTGTGTTGCCGCCTAGTCTTGTCTAATTGGCATTTTGTTTCTTTCAAGAGACTTTGGGCAAGTCCTACGTTTCTCCTTTTATCAACGGAATGGTTCTTGTTGATAAAACAAGACTAAGAAACAATTTAGATGCAAAAGAAGGACTTAAACTGCAGACCCTGGGGTGGGGGTGAGTGAAGGTAGAGGGGTTGTTGTGGCTGATTTTCACACCTGGATCAGATTTTCAGATACCACAAGATAATCAGGAGAGGGAAAAGGGAAATCATCAGAATTATCCTTAGGGCCTCTGTAGGACAATAATCACATTGATAATCTGTAAGTGTACCTCTTCAGTTCATTGTAATTTTAAAAATGATATTCAACTATCAGAATGTCAGGCTTATTACGCCTTCGAAAGGGTTAAGCATCTGAACTTTATTACATGTCAGAGAAAGTCCAGCAGCATCAGGAAAGAGGGATTTATTTAATATTATGCAGTCAAAGAAGGTTTGACTAAAGGATTCAAGGGATTAGCTGCTCCATAGCAGCAGCTTTGTGAAAAATAATACAATATCTGAAGCTGTGATTGCATTGGTCAGAAATATATTTTAAAGGACTCTCATAAAGGAAAGAAACAACAGCCAGGTATTAAGTTATATACTTGTGGTGTCCTCTTGAATTATCTGACTCCTTCGAAGCATTTAATTAAATGTTTATATATAACCCCATCTGAGAATAAATCAAATGATTTAGCAAAAATAAAATTATGGCTAGGGTTATTTCACTTACCATGTTAGGATTCTGCCATTGGGATTATCTGACAAAGTAATGCAAGTTCCTTGGGCCAAATCAATCATTTCTGCAGCTCCCAGAAAAAAAATGATTTAGGTATTTAAATTGGCCGAGAATATTTTAACAACCTGGTTATGCTGAAGCATAGCAAAGTCCCTGGATAATTAATCAGCCAGATTTACTCCCATCATAATCATAAGGAAAAGATTTTTTTTACCCCTCTTATTTTTGCCAGGTCTACCATTTTATTTCCAAGTAAAACAAAAGCTTGTGTTTTTGTTAAAGTATTTGCACTTCTAAATTCTGGAATATATTAATCTCGAGATAAAAGGCTGCAGATTCCAACATAAACAGCCAAGTGTCATGTAGAGTGAGTAGTTCATTCACGCAGTTGCTTGGAAATGTGAGATATTTGAAGTCTAAGGGTTTAGGCCAGATCAGGAAGGAATGGGGATTTTGCAGTAACCTCCTCCTGAAGTAGCAATAGCAATAGCAGTTAGACTTATATACCGCTTCATAGGGCTTTCAGCCCTCTCTAAGCGGTTTACAGAGTCAGCATATTGCCCCCAACAACAATCCGGTAGGGTGGGAATGGAGATTTTTACAGTATCCCTCCCCTGCCACGCCCACCAAGCCACGCCCACCAAGCCAC